TGCTGGGCTATAACTTTATTGTTTTGGATTACAACACCTAGTTACCAGTGCTGTGGGTCCTCAAATATCAATAATTACATAGCGTTGATTCGTTCTCTTCACTACTGTTTGTTTTCGAGAGTTGTTATTATGTAGCTATCAAAATAAAGTTTACTTATAACTCATCCCAATGTTGGTGCAAATGATGTTTCCGCTGAAGTCCTTCGTTTGCGACTAAGAGTTTAAAAATACGCCTCAGTTGTTAAATGATATGAAAAATGGAAGATATGAACAAACTTAAAAAATTTAGTGTTCATTTTAGTGGCGTATGTATTATTACATGACCGACCCAAATTATGAGATGTTTAACTTAGCTCGAATTACTATACTGATGACTAACTGTTCATTTAGCCATGTGTTCACACTGTAGAATATTATCCTTCGATAATGGAATGTGTAGAATTTGTGGTGGAAGAATGAGATTTCAGTTCTGCTCAAAAAGTGCTTGTTAATGAATAGCGGTATCAATGTAGTTTGCACGCGATACGTATATTCCAAAAGACACTGATCAGTTTTGCTGATAACATCAATGGGAGGATTCAAGAAACAAGAACAAATGAATTAAATTTTGACACGTTATACAAGCAACTGCTTATTCGTACTTTTCGTGCTAGTAAATACCACTTGTTTTATCTCTACGAGAAATCAGACTCGTGGTTGGATGGGTTTTTGTCCAAATTATTGGACACAACTGTTGAAGAGCGAAGTTCTCATCTTCATATACACAAAGTATGGAATGATGGGAAATATGATGCCTACAAAAAATGCCTTCACGAAAACATTACATCAGCTGATCAATGAAAGTATAAATTCATGAAGTTTAAATGAAAACGACTAATGTAGTCATAGCATACCTAGCGTAGTGAAATGGATTTATTGTTTGGTGGCCCGTAGTTCTCGACTCCATTTAGAGCGTACGAATGTTTGCTATCACCTATTTTCGTATATCATCGTCGACTTAAATCGCATTATCCAATAACGAAATTAAATAAGTCGAATAACGAGAATTGACTTGAGAATACATATATTTCGTACATGGAGCGAATGAAACATAGCAAAGCAAAATGACACGTATGGAAGATGGTTGGGAAGCCAACTCCATTTTAATTAAGCGTTACTCAATATTTATAGTCAAATAAAATTAAGCTACAGACATGTGATTAATAGGATAAGAAGGTCACACACATATACGCTCATATAAAATCAGTCTAGATTAATAAGCGAATAAATAACAAGGTCAAAGTATGGCTCGAGTAGAACGAATAAAATGTGATGTCCGAAAGCTAGAATAAGGTATATGGGCTTGGCATAATAACTGACACTACAATTGTAATGCATATAGGAACTAATGATTCCTGTGAACTTGATTTCGAATTCCAAATACAATACGTTCGTTCGTGCTCATATATTTGTTCTTGATGGAATCGCTTTATCTCTGGGATTCTTCCTTTGTAATATTATTCAGATACTTTTAACTATCACAGTTTATACACCCGCGTACATGTTATTTTCAGTTCAGGGAAAATGAAAATGTGTTATTCTGAAGGGAAAACGCTAAACTCTATATAAACCACACTTTATGGTTCACAATATACTAGATGTGAAACAGATCAGTAAAGGACAAAGTGGTGTAATTTGAGTTAGTTGCTTTTATTCCCAGTGTGGATACAAAAATTTGTCATCAACATGTGTTTGATTTTCGCGAATTCTGTTGTAAGATTTTCGATGAAAAATATCTTTGCGAATAGTTTCGGTGATCACATTACTATGTATCGTAGATTTTTATTTCGTCGGTTTTCTCATGCAACTAATTACACTCACAATTATACTGGTGTTACTTCCAAACTTAATATGTTTAATAATGATTTATAACCGTTTAGGCCAACTTTGATACGCGCAATTGCCCGGATGAAACCAAGGCAAGTTCAGTGCGTAAATGATGGTTTTAAATTTATTTATAAGTTTAGAAGTGCATTAGTACTTAAATAAATAAGACCACCCAGTTGTCTACCTAGTAACCGTGTAGCAGTAAATAAATCATCGAAATAAATAGCCCTGTAAGTTTTCGACATTGGATGCTGACCACATTAGTTTCAGTGGACTCACCTAGCTGAAGGTGCTCGGTCATGCATCCTCACCAGATCACGAGTGGGAACGCCGTGCTCAACAATCCCTGCAATCGCTAGCCAGATTAGATCAGACAATCCTCTATATTTTGATGGCCTATCAAATATATCTTCGAACCTTCTCGCTTCTGTCTTTTGATTTCACTTGGTGGGCACGATTCATATTAAGTGTTACTGGTTAAAGCGTACTGAAACTCCGAATAACTGTGGTATCTTCAACCGTTTAATCAGTAGTCAATTTAAAATTGCACTCCTTTGATAAAATAGCAAAGGACATAATATAATTATCAAATAAATCAAACAAATATCGTTCTTTTTTGTTAAATAAATCACGTACAGATTGTTCGAAACATTAATTAATTTCGTTTTAACACTGAGTGCTTCCATTTCTGGAAGAGTGCTTCAATTCACAATCAAAAAATGCACAGTTCCAGTCAATTTCAGCAACGCAATCAAAAAGTGAAGTGAATCAATATTGACGGCCGTCAAAATTTAACATCGAGTAAAATAACCTAGATGTAGTTTAAGAGAAACATGGAAATCTAATGAAGATGTAAGGAAAATGTGATGTTTGTATGAACTAACGATTCCTTTGTGCTTGTTGAATGCTTGATTTCGAATTCCAAATACAATACATTCGTTCGTGCTTATCTAGTACTTTTTAATCCAATTGCGTTATTTCTGGGATTCCTGGTTTGTACTATAATTCAAATACTTCTAATCGTCGTATTGGCGCCGCAGTGGAGCCTGCGATGGAAAAGTTAGATATTCGTTCAACCTCTGAAGCTTTTGAGAATTATTTTGAAAGGTTACGAACTTAAAATACAAATAGTACCATCCGAAATGGAATCAGAAGATCGAAGCATGTGCATCTGAAGGAACCAAGATGAATACACCTCAACTGTTTGAATGGAGAACGATTTTTAATAAAGATCTTAAATCAGACTTGTAACAGATTAGGTTGATTAGTCAAGAGTTTATCTCAAATAACTAAGTATTTGTCAAAACAGTGGGGCTCAAGTATTCATTCATCGCCTTATTTCGTATAGAAGTTATATTTCCTGTTACCTTATATTGGATGCTGAAGAGCTTTGTGTGTTTGAACAGGTAATCTCACACTCCACAATCTAAATAAAGACCTATTCACTGCTAGTCTGATTCCTTCTATCAATGGAACAAGGGTTCAGATGATTCAAATGGTTGTGGACGGAATAGAAGAAGCTTTCGCTAAACGGACTTCGCTGCCCAATAACAGATGATCATCAATATCTCCAGTTAGGATCGTAGGTATTTTGACGATAAAAGGAAAAAAGAAATTGGTGAATCTGAGCAAGGTATTATTTTTAGTTCATAAGTATATATCAAGTTTACTCTAGATGGACTCCTGAGATGTCGTTCGGACTAGTTCAGCCAACAGCGAATTCTATCATTTAACAATTCTTATGGATTAGAAGTCGTGTCTACAATCCGATCTGCTGTGTTCGATCCCCAGTTTCTAGGTGTTAACTATAGATTTGTGTTGAAGCTACATTTAAGTAGGTGTTAGTGGAATGTCCAGAAGTACTAAGGATGCTATAAGCCATTAGAAGGTCACCTCTAAGACGCCCGTACTCTAATGGGTAAAGGTTCAGTAATTAGATGTGCTGTTCATAAGGCTTGGATTTGAGTCCTCGGACTGATTTTGTGGCTCGCTGTTGGATACGCTTCAGAGTATCCTTATCCTTTTGGAGTGACGGAGGAAATACTATGTTTCTATGCTCTAAATTGGTATGAATAAAACTGTTGAATATTATGTGGAAACTGTCCAATAATGCGCTTTAGTGTTACAAGTGCAAGGTTTGTTCGAAAGACAATTTTGTCACAGTTAGCATGAGACTTCAATTCGTAGAGTACTAGCACTCCTAAATCTTTTTCAATTTCGGGCACTTCGAGATAAAAATGTACTAAGTTGTAAATGTAGTCTGCAACATGTATCAGATGAACTACTTTACACTTTGAAGTGTTAGCGGTAAAGTCGTTGTCCTCTCCCACTTTGAAGTCAAGTCAGATCCTCCTGTAGTCCCAGTATATCCAGTACATAGCCAGCATAGACCTAGAGACACGAAACTGGTTATCGTGACACACTGGAAATGCCCAGGATTTGAGGTCGGGGAGGGGCTTATCAACAGTTCTTCCATAATATTTTGAGCAGTTAGGGAAAACATCCCGTTTATCTGAATCTGACAATTCTGTTCGCTGTTACATTCAGGTTTTGCTGTCATAATTCATCCAGTTTCTGTTTCATTGACTTCGGACTGAAGAACATGCTGTTCCTGTATTACGTAAAGTGAGATTAATAAGTCAAATATAATTTTACCATTTGCAATCATCGGCCTTTCATTGTGGTAGAGTCTTCATCTTATATATTAACATAACTGCAAAATGTTTACTTCAGGCTTTCTAGAGTTTGGTAAACTGGGAGATTCCACATTGCACAAACTCGCAGTATCAAAATGTGTGAAACCAATTGTTTGAGAATTACCTAATCATTGGCGACAGATTCTTCTAGGTGAGCCCGATTATTTGAGAAGATATAAGTTTCACAGTCAGTAATCAAACTTTACTAAACCGCCCCGTTTAATCATTCCCTTAATTTTTTCTTGGAAAGTCTCTGTAATTTTTCTGAGATCTACGCTCCTTTAGAATTGTGAAAACCGAAAACGAAATTCAAACAAACCTCAATACTTATAACTAGTTAATTTTGTGTTCATGTTTACATCGCCCGTTTTGTTGTCAATTGATGTTCTCAAGATTTTGTTTTTTTGAATCTCAACCATCAATTTTTTTCTGACGCACATGTTAAAAAACGACCGCGGCCTTGAGCTCGGGGTTTTTGTCACATTGTTAAATAAATGACTCTGGATAAAGAAGATAACTTTCAACATGGTCCACATGCGATTGAGCGTCGTGGAGCATTGCGTCAGAAGAATGTCATTGAGGTCAAGGGTCATAAATTTGTTGCTAAGTTTTTCAAACAATTTACTTTTTGTGGCCACTGCAAGGACTTTATTTGGTAATGGCCTTTTTTTCTATATAACTTTTCAGGGGCCTTGGAAAACAAGGAGTCCAGTGTCAAATATGCTGCTTCGCTGCTCATAAGAGATGCTATCAATATGTAGCATTTAAGTGTCCTGGTGCTGATTTAGGTCCTGAATGTGATGTAATTATCTCGTGCTTTTGTCTCATTTTTTCAGTCTAAAAGGCGTCATAAATTCAAGCTGCATACGTACTCGAGTCCTACATTTTGTGACCATTGTGGTTCACTGCTATATGGGCTTGTTCAGCAAGGTTTCAAATGTCAAAGTTTGTTGTTTTTTGTTTGTAATGTTTCAACCAGACTGTGGTATGAATGTACACAAAAGGTGTGAAATGAATGTTCCTCACCTTTGTGGCGTAGATAATACGGAAAGAAGAGGACGAATATTTCTCAAGATTAGCTGGCAAGAAAACAGATTTGTAGTTGAAGGTAGGTCTATGCTTCAATTCATAGCATATGCTGTGAAAAATTACAAAACAATGAAGATCTGTACGTAATTATATTTTTTTCATGTTTATGTGAATTTTAAAGACCTTTTATCTATTTATCGACTGGGTGTTTTCTCATTGACATTCGTTTCTATTTCATAAGCTCCTAGCAACAGGTTTTGATGAGTTATACCATCAGACCTGCTAATGTGTTCTAGTCTTAAGCTAGAAAAAATCGCAATCGTCATAATTTTGTTTCCTTTGCTTGTGGAAAAGGCCTTCGCTTAACTGGATTCCATATCTAGTGGCAGAGGGTTTCCGACACCTCTACGTAGGAACCTAGGTATTTTAACGATAAAAAAAGAATAATGGAAAATTCTTGCCGTTGCACTGGCCAAAATACGCTTCAATTTCACCAGCACAAGGTTCCTTTGAAGGGCATTTTTGCCCCACATAGCATTAGATTTTAGATCTTAGGGCATTAAATTAATTTCTTCCTAACTTGAGATGTCCCTAGAGGGGAGTTACTAAGTTACATTCGTAGGTCGCCTCAATTAATTAGTTGACCCGAGGTGTTCCTGTCGATAAATGTTTTAAGCTGTCAGCTCTTCATCTCTGTACACTATGTGTAACCGGTTGTATATTTTCGGAAAAACTAGTAGTTACACTAACTTTCAGACCGTATATGAAGTTAAAAGCTGAACTCATAAACCTGTAGTTTTTTTCTGGGTTGCACAAACATATTAGGCCAGCGACAAAATTTATCATACCTTGGTTTGGGCAGCCCAGTTAATATTATTAGCCTTCACACTGTTTCACAAGCAAGTACTTGGTGAATGCGCTAAGGTTATTACTATTATAGTTGGCTAAGAATCCTCAAATCAAGTCGCTTTGGTTTGTGGTCAATTGCAAACGATTGTTTCCCATCAAGCTACATTAATGGCAAATACTTTGTAAATGAAGAATTAAAATTTGAAGATCGTCTTCACTTCCAGCGTTTTATTCTCTTCCTATTTTATGTTTTCAAATTTCGTATTGACTGATACGCTTCTTTCGTGTCTATTCCGAGGCTCATTTTAAGATCTATGTGTGCTTACTAAGTGTAGCGAGTGATATTTAACAGTCTATGCATAGCCTCTGCTTATTAGTACCCACAGTCACCTAAAAAGGCATTTCATGGTTTATTTGCCGTCTATTCATTTGAATTTTATTAGCTTTTGTCTAAAGGTCAGGGTTACCTAATTTTTTGATCTTTTGTGTATTTCACTGCATTTTAACGTCTTTATTCTAACTGGTTGAAATTAATAATTTGGCTGTAATAATTATCCGTATATTGGATTACTAATACCATATATTTTATTTTGCCTTGTAATAAGTGATTACTTGTTGGAGCCAACTTTCTTTATAAAGTACTGTTTCAGGTTCTTGACTTAGACGAGATTAATTGTCCATACGTTTTTCGGTTAGAGGAAGTGAACTAAAGGTTGGTCACCATGGTGTCACGTTAATAATCCTTGGTTATTGCCAGAATTCATGCAGCTGAGTAACTTCAAGTGGGAGTAAACCTAGAAACAATGCATGCTATGACACTAGATAGTTTTGCTTAAGGTTACCGAATTTTTTATCTGTGAAGTAGAAAAGTTGGCTAAAACACACGGTTAGTGTATTTGACATCTGTACTAGATGCGAAGAAGTAAACAAGCAAGTTAAGTGATAAAATAATAATCTTTTATACTTTCAAAATTTAAGAATGTCATCTTGTGTAAAAAATGTTTGGTTTTCACTTTTTGTTAGAGTTTGTTTTAAATAGGACACTGTATGATATTTCATTTAGCCTTCCGTGTGTTTTCATGTATCGGAGAGTCAGGTCGCGATAGATCTTACTCGTTTCCCGATTATACCTTCTTTCTGAATTTGGCATTTAGGACTCTGTTGTAGTTATCAATTTAAACTCACTCTTTAGTCATCTGGAGATTCGTTAGCCGTTTGTTATTGTCTTACCGATTCATACATATCATTGCTTTAGAAAGTAAAATAAGTACTCCTGAACTGAATTCTTGCTGATAACTGTTTATGCTTCAATCAAGTGGACAATGTAATAAGAATTCGGAGGGAACGTTATATATCATTGTTTTCTCAAAGTAATTTCCGAATGAATGTATTCTGCGTAAGATAAAGGACAGTTTCCGTCATAATCTTTGGAAATTTCTTATTGGCTAACTATTACGGTAAAACTCACCATTTTAATAGTTGTATTCATCATTCATGACTAACTGACGAATTTCACTTCACCTTGAATTAGCATCATTTTATTAGTTTCACCTATCACTGTTTTCATTCTGTCACCTTTTTAGTGAAAGAAGGTAGAAATCTTATTCCGATGGACCCAAATGGTCTTGCTGATCCTTATGTTAAAATCAAATTTGGACCAACCGACGAACTTGGACGTAAATTCAGAACCAAAACAATAAAGTCTAACCTAAACCCTATATGGGATGAAAAGTTCACCATGTAAGTTGTAGATCATTCTACTTTCTCCATAGATAGTTAGGTTTTTTGCTTCATTTATAATTAGTTTATTTAAATTTCAAACAAACAGACGTTCAAATTTACGCTTTGTTAATTACCTAAATGTATTTAATCGGCGCTTGGCCAGATAGTCATTAAAAAACTGACTTGTTCGATCATGAAATATATATCTAGTATTCAATGAATTTTTAATTTTTACAAGCCTGTTTCATAAATTCGTGATGGTCTATTATTGGTTATTTTAAAACATAGTGATCTACGTCCAGACGATGAGTCGAAGCGATTGCATTTTGAAGTTTGGGACTGGGATCGCACATCACGTGACGATTTCATGGGTGCTTTATCATTTGGAGTTACAGAATTAATTAAAAAGCCAATTGATTGTTGGTTTAAACTACTGAGTCAAGAAGAAGGTGAATACTACTCGATTCCTTGTACGACAGAGAGTAATACTCCGCCCTATGCAGAAATATCTTCTGAATATGAGGTATGCCCTATGATAATTTATTTAGTTTATATATATTATATCGGTGTAATACGAAGTATTGAGTAAGTCTGCCGATATCACAAATAAGTAGAAGTGACTCTCAGTGGCAAGCTCGAAATTCAAATTTAGTGAGTCGATATTTATCTCAATTGAAATCCGAGAAACCGAGTTGTATGCCTAAAAAATTACTGAAATTCATGACTATGAATATAAATGGAATAATTGTAACGATAAGTATAAGCTTTTAGTTATCACAATCCTAGTTAAGGAATTCATCTAGTACACAAGTGGAGTTTTAAAAAAATCTACAGTTATCTCTGATCACTAGTCAAACCGGACAATTAGAATAAAACGATCTACATATATAAGTAACATATTTGTAATATCCCGATGAATAGAAAAATAAGATTTTCTGATTGGGATATTACAAATATACTATTTATTTATAACAATCTACCCAATGCCCAATTTATTCAAAATTATCAAATTAAGCCTTGGTAATGATACCTAAAAAAATGTACAACGATACAACAGTAAAATGTTACAATCATCAATCATAAATCATTTTACAAGTACAATAAAGCATTCCAGTATTTATGTATAATTTTGATGATTAATGATGACAAAGGGATATATTATTATTATTATTATTAGCAGAAATCGGAAAAGGATAAAATAATGAATAGGCTCATTAACAATGTTAATCAGGAGCTTAAATAAACATCCTTATACTCTTGAGATTTGAAAATATTTCATCTATCTGTAAATATATAAATATTATCGATGATTTTGGATTTTATCTGCTTGTTAATAGAAATACGGTACGTGTATAATTTTCTCAGTTGATAATCAGTACTACTTTGCTGTAGTTATCACTACTGACTAGTCTTACATCCCGATACCACCATGCGCAACATAATTTGAGAACTGTGTATTAGTTTAGTGGTAAGTTATAAAATTGAAATTTAAACAATCTCAAACTAATATTTTGTTATATCTTGTGGGCTGTGTGCCCTGGTAATGTATAACGTAACGATACCGCCAATTAGAGAGCAGTGAATTAGCCTAATGTGGCTGTGAATGGGGGGGTAGTAATTAATAGACAGGGCATAATTCAAGAATGGTAAATTGTAAAATAATAGTCCATAGGTCAAAATAGAGCTTATAATAAAAGGGGCATGAATATGTGTAGTTTAGTTATTTAACAATTATACGTTAAAAATACACGCATAGTATTGGCCCATAAATGAATCCCAAAAGTTACTATTCATTATGCTTATCAGGACATAACATGTTTATATGTCGTAATTTGGATTATCAATTTGGATACAGTTGTGTATTATCAAATGATGCTATTGTTAAAAGATATGTTGATTATTGATCCATGTAGTCTTTTCCTTGACTAATCAACCCAGTGAATAGTAACCGAATTGTTTAACCTGTAAGGAACTAGAAAAACGTACAACTGAGTTATTGTTCAAGGTTGTATTTAAACAAACGCAGTAAAACAAACTTCAAAGAACTAGGCTATAGAACAAGTAAACCAAATTAGTGTCGTATAGCTTAACTGGGTAAAATTGATCAACAAAAGAGTTTGTGTTAAAATCCTAGACCATGAAAAATATACTATTCTCTAGTTTTTTAAATGTTGAGTTTTTTCATTGATCAAGCCTTTTATTTTTACAGTATAATTATGAAATGATGATTGTTTAATGTAATTATTTTATTAGACCATCAAATTAATAACACTGTTGTTTAAATAATTAGGTACTTTTTGCTACACACACATACACTTACAAATTCAGAGTTCATAGTTCAAAAGCCTACATTAATAACATATAATAGTCAGTAATCTGCCACACGAATGTCCATCATACATGATTCCATCCCAGTGACTCGATAAGTGTCGTCCTTGATCCGAGACTTAAAAAAACATGGATTTGATTTCGTGTTCCGTTGTGGACGGTCACTGCTAAGCTTTCATTAAACTGAAATAAAACGACTATCGAATACCTTCTGGTTTTCAAATGATTTTCAAAATAGTGTTTATTTATGATTAGGATTCCCTTTATAAGTTGAAAGTTTCACCACAGATTACTTCCTGGTTATGTGAAATAGTTTCTTATGTCAAGAGATTTAAACTTGATAACATAAAAATAAGAAATGACACAGTATCTAATGATCGTTTTTCCTTAATAAACATGAGAAAATTAATTTATGAATCAAGAATTTTTAAGTTCGAAAGGGTAATAGTAGCACCAATATTGCAAAATACAAACTCTCTTGCTTCCACATACCTCGTAGATTCCTACCAGAAATCCGGAGAATTCATTTCAAAGACGAGTCATATCAGTGAACACGCAATCTTTTTAGAATTTTTATCATTTTATAACATGACGTTACACAGTTTTGCCAAGAAATTTACTTTAAAAGTAACTTTCATCAATAGATGAAATTACCTAAATAAGAACTCATAGTGTGGTCAAGATAGAACCTTGAGTCCTGAAGTTTGGTCTTTTTTGGAGATACTTTTTAATTGTACATCTTAGCTAGTATAAATGATCAACTAGTCATTAGGCGTCTGACATACATATGATCTTGGATTTGCTTACCAACTTATGCATTTGTCAGTCAGCCAAACTATCGTGGTACATCGTACATCGGCGGAGATAGATGAGTGCCGAATTTTATAGGTAACAATAATATTAATGCCAATAAAAAAGAAATATAGATAGGGTATATGTTTCGAGAACAGAAAATTAATCTACAGAATAGATGTATATGCGTGGCCATGTGAGAGCATTTCGAAATAGAGCTGACTCCTCACCCTCGACCGTACTAGGGCATTTGAGGGGTGCAGATATATATATATATATATATATATATATATATATATATATATATATATATATATATATATATATAATGTTAGCATTGATAAGTTCAATAGTAAAGAAAACAGTTGTTTACAGAATTAGTTTCTATGTGTTATCATTCTTCCATGTTTTTATCCGCTAACTCTATTTAATTTTGATCATTTTTATACGAAGGTAAGTTATCTTAGTACAGTTTAAATGACTTAATTTCCTGTAGGGAAAACAAAGAAATATTCTCCCATTTATTCAGCAAATAGGTGAAAATGTTTTTACTTAAAGAAAAGAAACTCATGAATTTATATCGTTGTTTCAATGCTAAAATCATACAGATTTGTAAATGCACTTGTGATGTGAATTTAATATAACAAAAGTGATTTAATGTTTATTCTATTCAATAGAGTTGTGTTTTTTTCAATTGATACACTTTGACGAACATGTGTCTAGTAATGTTATATCTGATAGTTTCATACATAAATGTGATCGTTAAGTTAGAATTTTATTGACCACTAACTTATAACGTAGATAATGATGACACTGTATCACTATGTTTTATCTATCTGTTGAATAAATATGTTTCAGAATGTTATTCTGTCTTTCCTTTGTACTTTGAAACTAAATGTATTGAATCTAGAAAGCAAGTTGTTAATATGTTTCATTTGGATTGATTTTAAACTTATATCATCCAATTATTTTAACTCAGTATCTTAAAAAAATGTCATGCTTACCTTGTTTACTAAAGTTTTTGGCGTTGGATTCTGTTTGAGTTGTGTATGAGCGGTTGTTTCCACTGATTCTTAACTGAAACAGCTTAAAAGTTTAAATATTAGACTTTGAAGTATGTAATTCCTTTTTCCTTAAATCGTACTCGACCTATCTTAGTTTGTACAGAGAATTTAGCATCGTTGATTGGCTCACAATTTTAATAAAATTCAACATTCTCCATAACCCTATACTGATAAATAAAAATAATATACTTGTAATATCCCAATGAGTAGAAAATTGGATTTTCTGACGTTTCGTGACTTAGTGTAAGTCACTTCTTCAGAGAATAAATAACCAAATTAAAATTAATCCAAGTTTAAATAGTACAACGGAAGAAGTGACTTACACTAAGTCACGAAACGTCAGAAAATCCAATTTTCTACTCATTAGGATATTACAAATATATTATTTTTATTTATAACAATCAACCCAATGCTCAATTTATTCGAAATTATCAAATCAAACCTTGGTAATGGCACCTACTATACTGATAAAATTGTGTAGTTCTTTCAGTAGTAGAATCATTATTCATTTCTCAAGGACTAATTCTATAATAATTTCATTTGATATACATTTACATATCAATATTCATTACTTTATTTGATTCACAGAAATATCGTTTAACTGATTACAATTGATTGATCACTGGGTGGTGATCAATGTCATGCGTATCTTGTCCTTATTAGTGCAGATCGAATGCTATCGATCATGTTGTAATGTGGCCACCAGTCTAGGTGACTCGACACTGCGGGCACTATATATATATATATATATATATATATATATATATATATATATATATATATAGAGAGAGAGAGAGAGAGAGAGAGAGAGAGAGATTAGATAGTGGTTGTAGGTAGTCGACAGGAAACCCTGGACCCGGGTTTCGTGCTACTTGGCACTCGTCAGCAAGGTGTATCTGTAATCTTGAGGGAACTGGTGCTCCCTGACTGTGAAGTTGAGTGACACGAGATCGAATCCGCCAGGGAGCACCAGTTCCCTCAAGATTACAGATACACCTTGCTGACGAGTGCCAAGTAGCACGAAACCTGGGTCCAGGGTTTCCTGTCGACTACCTCCAACCACCATCTAATTGTTTAACTGATTATTTAACTTCATGATTAACTAAACTATTGAATGATCGAGTAAATTTCTTTGATTCAAACAAATTGTGTATTAGAAATTAATTTAAAGTTATCCACTGAAATATTGATACACTACTCATACCCATAATAGTAAAATAAATTGTAACTGTAATCATTGTTTGTCAAAAAATTCACCTTTTTATATCCATATAAAATAATTCAATCTGTTGATATTATTGTGCTATGTTTTAGTCAAATCTATGTTTCTATTTACATT